AATTGGTGTATATAACTTATTGTTTTGAACAAATTATTATGTATTTTACAAATTATATATTTTTTGATCTGTTTCACCCTTTGTATAATAGTGTATTCTGTGATTTTCTGCAGGTAAAATGGCTAAATTCATTAAAGCATTTTCTGGAAAAATGTATTTATTTAAAGCAGAAAAATTTTTTTGTGACTTTCCCTGTAGAATATAGACTTATTTTTCGTTTTTAATTTTCACTTGACTTTCTGTAGAGTATTCAACATATCCAACGAAAATTTTAAAGGAAGTGTCTGATGTCTTCAAATATTCAAACATTTTTTCCCCTTAATAGACTAGTTTTCATATTTTCAAAGTATAAGTGGATGAGGAAAATCAAATAAAAAGGGAATGTATACATAGTATTCAATTTTTTCTAACAAATATTAATATGAAAATTAGTCGTGAACCCAATTATTATTATTATTTAAACATAAATATTGGTACAAGGGGGCACCAAATATATATGCGTCACACAAATCAAATGAGATTTGTGTGAGGGCTATGATACTGCGCAGGTGCCCAAACTGAAGCAGGTAGTTTTCGTAGGCGGCCACACCCGAAGCCTTTGACCTAAAGGTCTGATCCACAAGACAGTGGAGCATCCTGAGGAGATGCAGTCCCATGGTAGCCAGTGACCAGTGGCCATTTGTTCCATCAGGATACTAGAGCCCATGTGCACCACTGGTTTGGAATCAGGGTTTTCCGACTCCTCATGTGGATTTTCCGTGTCCACCAATCCGGTTAAAAACGTCGGACATTCGCTTTTCGTCCTCTCAATTTCGTAAACAACACCCATGCCATGAGAAGACAGTGAGTAGAACTTTCCTGGCAGAGGCTATATACGCGTGGCCGTGTGAGAGCATTTCGAGAGGGACGGTGGCCCCTCACCACTCTCGGCCGTACCAGGGCATTCGGGGGCATGGTTGTCATTAGTTATATAATATTTTATGGACTGAGGGGAATTTCAAAGTGAAAAAGACAATTTTATAATCCTTGGAAGCATCTGGTACTGTACAGAAACTTACATATTGAACTGGTAAATGGTTAATCATTCATTTAATCAGCTGTTTTTAGTTTGATCGTACTTCATAGGCATTTGTGATTAATTGATGCAAAATAAAAACACAAGATACATTTGCTTATAGAATATATTTTACTTCAAATTACTGAATTTCAGTTAGATATGGATTATGTAAATACTTTCGTTCTATCTACTACTGAGTTATCGCCAGTTAACTGTCTAGTTTTACCAAGTCTTTTGATTCGTGAATCATTTGGGTTTTGAAGTTGATTCTTTCGTAAGAAACCACAATATGCTGATTTTCATAACCTCAAAGCTGTCCATTTGTAATGAAGTGCATTATTTTTCAACAGCATCCCCTCAACTGGTCGTGAATTTATCATGTATTAAAATTTTTTTTGACCACAAACAAACCTACATACTGAACTACTATCCATAATGATCATATATAATCGAGAATAAATTATTTGTATTACTGTATCCCAGCTCTAGCGACGGGGAAAAGGTAAATTCTATCATTTGACAATTATGGAGTAGATTCATGTGTTGAGATGATCAGTTTCCTTCTTTAAATGATACTTTTATTCGTTTTGTTTCCACATAATTTACTAACTCAGCAGTGTTTCTCAAGGTTTGTGAAAACAAAATGATCCTAAGCGTGCCATTATTTTCTAAAGTTTAAGAGGCGATAAAAGTTCGTAAAATTTATTGGTAACTAAACCTATTTCTATCAGTTTATTCGTTTTATGCTCCAGGTGATCTTCATGATTATAGATATCAGGATTTAAATAAACTGATATCCAACTTTACTCCTTTGTTGTCATTTATCATTTATCTCTGCTCCTTCTAGAATGGAGAGCGTTAAAGTGGAATTAAGTCCACCCTTTGTGCCCAACTAACATCTTAGTATGACTAATAATGCTTAAAGATATAAAATTCACTTGTCAATTCTACTGTTTTTCACTGTTCACTACTGTTTTCGTATTGATTCCTATGGTCTGGATACCATGTGGCTACTACTTACCACAAATTGTTTTCGGATTTCCTTGATTTCTGTTACCTACACAAACTCAGTCATTGTACAGGTTGACCCCTGAGATTTTTAAGGATGGTGGTCCAGTACTAGCAGTGAGATTGACTGAGGTCTTAGGTAGAATCTGGGAACTGGACGTAATTCCATCTGACTGGTCCCAATTACTGATTGTGCCAGTCTATAAGAAAGGACAAAAGTCCTCCTGTAACAATCACAGAGGGATCAGTTTGACTAATATAGTGTCTAAAATATTAGCTTCAATAATACTAGGTCGCCTAACCAAAGCTCTCAAAGAGCAGACTAGAGAAAACCAGGCTGGTTTTCGACCTGGACGTGGTTGCATAGACCAGATATTCACCCTACGTCAGGTCCTAGAACATAGACACGAATTCAGACGTCCCACAATAGTAGTATTTCTTGACCTTAAGGCGGCATTTGACTCCGTTGATCGTGAGGTTCTATGGCAGTGTTTGTCACTGAAAGGAGTACCGAAGACGTACATTAACCTCATAAAGGCTCTCTACTCGAACACAGCTGGTCGAGTTAGAGCCTATGGCTAACTGTCATCAGAACTGATTACCACAAGTGGCGTTCGTCAGGGCTGTCCACTCTCCCCATTCTTGTTTAACTTTGTCATTGACATACTTTTAGAGATAGCACTTTCATCAGCTAAACCTCCAGGAGTTGAACTTTTACTGGGAGATTCACTTGTTGACTTAGAATACGCCGACGACATAGTTTTACTCGGTGAAGACGCTGACAACATGCAGAGTCTTCTGACCACTATAAGCAACTATGCAGGCATGTTCGGGATTCGATTCTCTCCCTCGAAGTGCAAAATGTTACTTCAGGATTGGGTTGTATCGACACCTGAACTAATGATAGGGAGTGAAGTAGTTGAGCGTGTTGACAGCTTCACTTATCTTGGGAGTCTCATCAGCCCTTGTGGTCTGGTATGTGACGAAATCTCAGCACGGATAGAGAAGGCTCGTCTAGCTTTCGCCAACTTGCGTCATTTATGGCGTAGGCGAGATATCCATCTAGCAACCAAAGGACGGGTTTACTGTGCAGCAGTTCGCTCCGTTCTACTTTATGGCAGTGAAACATGGCCAATAAGAGTAGAGGATATTCGTAGGTTACTAGTGTTCGATCATAGGTGTCTTCGAAGCATTGCTCGTATATTCTGGGACCACCGGGTAAGTAATGCAATTGTTAGGAAACGGGTAGTAGGTAGGGATGGCAAATCGATTGATGAAGTAGTGAAACTTCATCAGTTGAGATGGCTGGGACATGTGTTACGAATGCCCGACGTGCAATGTTTCATGGTGTAGGAGTAGGTTGGAAGAAAGCTAGGGGTGGCCAGACCAAAACGTGGCACAAATCAATGAAGTCACTGATAAGTGGACTGGGCCATGTTGGTAGGTGTAGACTACCTGGTTGGGATTCGCGAGATGACAGCAACCGATGGTTAGAGACCTTGAATGACATGGCTCAAAATCGTTTGCAATGGAGAAGGTACATCCACTCTTTGTGTTCTACCAAATTCTAATCTTCTGAATTCCTCATGTCTTTATCCTTTTCTCTTTCCAAATTTATTTCACTGTACTATACTCGTTCAATAATTTCTTCAAACCCTAATCTTTTGGATTTCTGATTATACTCCTACTACTTCTACCACTATGGGATTTGAATCGACAACTGCATCTCTGTGCTAATGTGGTATGGCAACTCGAACTGATGTACGTACATACGAAGTTCTAGGTTGTGACTGACTGACAGATAATGTCGGTCTAGTTTTTAGGTTTTTTATTTGTTATTAGCGAATCATCTGTATCTAAGTTCCCTGCACATGGTCAATCGTTTTATCGTGAGTAAAAGTGTCTACTGCAATTACTGTAATGAAAACAAAAATACTCCTTACTGCCTTTCATACCACTAGTGTCAGTCATCCTAAAGATAAAACTTTTTTAAGAATTGGAAGACTGATTACCATACACATTTATCTACGGAGCGTCTAGCTTTTCTTCATTTCATTTGCAATGCTTTTTAAACAACCGTATTCGTTGAAATTCCGGGCAAAAGAAAAGTAATCCCCAAGCTTTTATTCCATGAAGTTTTTTGTTCTAAATAAGTGGTAATTTGATCATTCAGTTTTTATTATCATTATTCAGACGTATTTTAAGGTTCCAAGCACGGTGTTTTCTTGAAATATTTAAACTAATCTGTGGAGTTGCACAAAACGTCGCATAGTGCAAAATGTCATCCAAGTTTATCCACCGAAACCGTCGAAACAATTTTTGATAAGTCTTAAGTGGTGTCGGTGGTAAATTAATTGATAAGATTGTGGACTAGCATTATGTAAAATATCACTGGGTTAAAAATGAAGTAAAACAAAATAGGTCTTTAAATATCGTGGTAAAAATATGACACATTCTTTGTTTCACATTTACCCACTGATCTGATCAGCATCGAAAATCTGTGAAACTCCTCGACAGTGCTTCTAACAATATTTGAATTAGTGGTTAAAGATGATATATAACGTGGCTTAAAATTTATCACAGAGATGCTAATACACTTAGTTTTTCGTAAATAATAGCGTTCCTTTGATTTTCTTATGCTATCTTAAAACACAAAGTCTATTCTATAATGTTTTATCCATGGAGTGCACTTACCATAGCTGAACCAACTATATATTAATAGCTGATACAGAATATCATCCACCAAAAGCATACCAAAATCGACAAAATTAACAATGCATTTCAGTTGATTGTGATGAATATTTAAGTTATATCTCATATTTTGCATGGAATTTACTTTGAAAACTAAGGTAGCATAAATGAGTGCTACCATTGATTCTGTGTTGTATTCTCATACTACAGTAAACTAATTGTTATCTTTTCTTATCTATCTTAGCCACAGTGATTGTTCATCAACCGACAGTGACCGCAACTGCATACCACCGACATGCTGTTGGTATTACTTGTCCCTTTTGCCATAACTCTGGTATTACAAGGGTTAGGTTAGAATCTGGATGCTTGCCGTGGTTGTTATGTGGAATTCTCTGCTTCTTCGGGTGGGTTCATATTATCTATTTTATTCGGATGAAATCAGACAGACGAGCAAATTTTTTATTTATATCGATTTTTTTTTCATTGTTTTTATAGAATCTTGTTACCACTTTATAGCCATCTTATTGACTTCAGATGCACGTGATATCTAAATAATCAAATACATAACAGCAGTATTAGGTTGTCGAATACCCTATCCATACTAAAATTGTGAAGCTCCCATCTAGTTTAAGTGTTCTTTGACTACTGGAAAATTACATCTTTTTCCATAAAAATGGGAAGATAAAAACTGGATGTTTAACCTTAAAAACAAACTGGTGAGGATTGTGGTTTGTTTCAAAAATTTAAAAGAAGTGAGGATCACATTCCACCATCTTCAGCCTCATCTGGCAGAGTATGGGAAAATCCCTAATGACGTGGAATCGAAATTCTTGACACTTGTATCATGTGGTGATAGCTGTATCCAGTCATATACATCTTCACAGTATTATTCGTGTATGACGGAACCATTGAACTAGTAGTGCTGTGGTTAGACCTTTATCGCTAGTTAGAAATATCAAGTGTGTCAATCATACATCATTCATTACCGGGGTAATTGCGCCTCTTCAGTCATTGGCTACACTGACGCGCTATGCTGGATATTGTAAGACAAGGTTAAACTTGGTGGTGGTTGAACCAAAAAACAGGATAAATTTAAGCAGTTTCCAACTATTGACTTAGATCTTATAGAACAGATCTAAGGTGACATAGTTCAACATCGGTCCTTGTGGTGCGAATACATTCACTATATATATATATATATATATATATATATATATATATATATATATATATATATATATATATATATATATACGTCTGTTACCCCTAGTCAAGAAGCATAAGCCGTCCACCAGCTTTCTCCATCGAACTCTGTTCTGGATAATCCTTTCCAGCTGTTCCTAGTTGCTGTTCATCCTTTATATGTCCGCTTCCAATTCTCAACACACTGTGTGCTTTGGATTTCCTCTTTCCTATTCAGTCAGCGACAACGCAGGACCAGGCACATATATGCATCGGTCCAAGTTGCCATACCTCGTTAGCACAACAAGATGAACACCGGATTCATAGAAATAGTTAATTTAGTGGTGGTAATATATAAAGAAAGGTTGTATATAAGGATATAGTATAGGAAGGAAAAAAGTTATGAAGCAACTTTAATCTCAAGGTTTAAGGGAAGATAAAGAGTGTATACATCTACGCCATTGTGATCGATTCTGAGCCATGTCACCCAGAGTCTCCAACCATTTATTACGATAGTCACACGGACCCCAACCAGGTAGTCTGCATCTACCAACATGGCTCAGACTAGAAGTTAGTGACTTCAAACACTGATGCCATGTTTTGGTTTGACCGCCCCTAACTCTCTTCCAACCATCCCCTACACTAGTCAGCATTACGCGTCGTGGTAATCGGTGTTCAGACATACGTAACACGTGGCCCAATCATCTCAGTCGATGAAGATTCATGACCCCATCAACTGATTTACCATCATTCCCTAATACCCTGCGTCTAACCTCACTATTACTTACCCGGTGATCCCAGCAGATGCGAGCAATATTTCTAAGGCATCTGTGGTCAAATACTAGTAACCTACGAGTATCTCCTACTCTTAATGGCCATGTTTCGCAGCCGTAAAGTAGAACAGAACGAACTGCTGCGCAGTATACTCGTCCGTTAATTGATAGACGGATATCTCGTCTTCGCCATAGGTGACGTAAGTTGGCAAAAGCCAAACGAGCTTTTTGAATCCGTGCTGAGATTTCGTCAAACACCAACCCATTGGGATTGATCAGACTTTCAAGATAAGTGAAGTTGTCGACGCGTTCGACTACTTCACTCCCTATCCTTAGTTCAGGTGTTGACGCAGGCCAGTCCTGGAGTAACAATTTACATTTGGATGGGGAGAAACGCATCCCAAACATCCTGGCATTATTACTGAGTTCCAACAGAAGACTCTGCATTTTGTCAGTGTCTTCACCAAACAGGACTATGTCATCTGCGTATTCTAAGTCGATAAGTGAACCTCCTGGTAGAATATCAATTCCAGAAAATTCAGTCGATGAGAGTGTTATTTCCAGCAACAGGTCTATAATGAAGTTAAACAAAAATGGGGATAGTGGACCGCCTTGACGGACACCACTTGAGGTTGTAAAATCATATGACAGTTCGCCATAAACTCTCACTCGACTGGTAGTGTTCGAGTAAAGAGCCTTCACAAGGTTTATGTACTTCTCAGGTACACCTTTCAATGACAGACACTGCCACAGAACCTCTCGGTCTACAGAGTCAAATGCTGCTTTCAAGTCAAGAAAAACTATCGGACGCCGGTAAGCATGTCTGTGCTCTAAAACTTGACGAATGGTGAATATGTGGTCGATACAGCCACGACCAGGTCCGAAGCCAGCCTGATCTTCTCGTGTTTGGAGTTCACGAGTCTTAGTTAGGCGCCCGATAATTATTGAGGCTAGTATTTTAGATACTATGTTAGTCAGACTAATCCCTCTATGGTTATCACAGGATGATTTTGACCCCTTCTTATATATTGGGACAATCAGTGATTGTGACCAGTCAGATGGGATTACATCCGTCTCCCAGATTTTAGCCAGAATATTAGTCAACCTAATCGCTAAAATTGGACCACCATATTTAAAGACCTCTGGAGCCGATCCATCTGGACCAGCTGCTCTTCCTCGTTTCAGACTACTTATAGCCTTTTGAACTTCAAGTAGGGTCGGGAGGCCTACTTCAATGTTCCATTCAGGTTTTCTGGGAATAGTGGGTAGTTGTGCAGTAGCTGAAGGCCATCTAAACTGCTCCTTAAGGTGTTCCGCCCATCTTTCTAAACGTTTGGGTTGAGAGCAGATAAGGGTTCCATCTTTTTCCGAGATTGTCTCACTTACACTTGACTTCTTAATTCCGGTTTCTTTTATTAATCTGAATAGTTGCCTGGTGTTGCCTACAACCGCTGCCTTTTCCATCTCTTTTGCTTTCGTTGCCCACCACTGCTCACGATCGTTCCTTAGATCTAATTTGTTTACGCTCTTCGTCGTGTTCAGAGCCTGATGGGATGAGTTTACGCGAATCCATCAGTGAAATAGACTTAGAAGAAATCCACTGGTTTTTTGGAGCCCTATGGTTTAAATAACTAATAGATGTGACGGCTGTTTCCACAGCTGTTCGTATGTCTTTCCAAGCAGCATCTGGGTCAGTCTCGTTTACAGAACTGCCTAGATGTGAACTCAGTTGTTTCTGGAATTCGCATTTGGCTTTCTCGTCCTCCAGTTCAATCCTAATGGGTCTTCTTAGTGTACTTTTCCTGCGTCCATTGAGGCGCAGACAAATGCGCGCTCGTATTAAAGCGTGATCAGAGTCTAAACAAGTATTCCAATACGAGCGACAATCTTCTATTGAGCCTCTCCAACGATGACTGATGACAATATGGTCTATTTGAGTCCATCGTTGGTTTGGTGCAGGTGGTCGCCATGTTAGACGATGTCTCTCCTTATGCTTAAAATTAGTGCTTGCTAAAAATAAACGATTGTCTGAGCATAGTTGCAACAGACAATCACCATTATCGGTTCGTTGAACCGGAATACTAAAACACCCACCTAAATGTCTTTCTGTTTGAATTAAGCTGCCTACCTGGGCATTAAAGTCACCCGCTACGACTACTATGTCTGAGCGTTTAGTTTTCTGAAGAAGCTCAGAGAGTTTTCTGTGAAAGTTATCTTTTACTTCATCATGGCTGCAGTCAGTGGGAGCGTAGGCAGAAACGACGAAAAGGCAACGACGTGTGTCCCTATCCTTCCGAGTTCTTACGGAGCCATTTAGCCGGACAGCACACAGGCGACTGTTAACGGGGATCCATTCTAATAGTGCCTGTTCTGCCCTTGTACTTAGTGCTATGCCTACACCTGCAAGTCCACGAGAACTAGCCAAAGGGTCGCCAGATACACGGAGGGTGTATTTCGTTGGCTGTCCATTTTGGTGAGGTGGGGTCAAGTGAATGGCCACACTAGGATCTCGTATGCGTGTTTCGGAGACACAGCATACATCAATGGTACGAGATTCTAGGGTTTTGGCTAAGGAGGTCTGTTGACCGATTTTGCATAGGGTACGTACGTTGAAGGCTCCAATGTGTAGTTTGGAGCGAGGTTTTATGAATACAGTGGTCTTGATTGCTGTTAGAGGTATGAGGGCAGTTATTACTTCCCGGTTGCCCACACCGTGGGAGGGTTCTTCTAGAGGTAACTGAAAAGGAAATTGAATTAGAAGTGGTCTTAATGACCTGAGAGCTTGACCGCAGTGCCCAAGGGACAACTGCTTGAGGTCGGTCACACACGACCTTTTTGTGGTTAGTTTTCATGTTAGCTCCGTTCTTCAAGGGACCTTACCGCCGGAGACGGATATCCGTGGGATAAGGCGAGGTGTGCATTTTTAGAGTCGACCTTTTCTAACCCCACCCCTCTATGTGGGAAGGCGGCATCGCTATCATGCTGGTTGTCTGAAGGAAACACCATACTGCTTTCACACCTCTGTACAATCAGCAGTACGACTTCGCCTTCGGACCTTGGGATTGCTGCTTTTAGTCCTACCGCTCTTCAAACGACCCGTCTGGCATGGTAGGACCTTGAAGAACGATTGTTCCAGCCAGTATAGCTCGATTGAATCATCACGATAGGCAAGCCCGACCACCACGTCAAGGTAGCAGCAACGATCGGGCCTCTTTCCTATTCCCTTTCAAAAATTCCAAGTTAAGGCTTGTTTCGTTATTCAGCTCGATGGTTTCCACAATGCATATCCTATCCACTTCCAACGTCTTTTCCTAATTTTCTCTTCATTTGGAAGATGGTTTGTGTTCTCCCACAGTAGGTTGATGCAGATGGCATCCGGTCAACGAACATTGACTGTCTTGCGTCAGTCAGTTACAACCTAGAACTTTGTACGTACGTACATCAGTTCG